ACGTAACAACCGGATAACGTCGCGTTTTATTGACCCCCTTACAAAAATACTATTTCACTCACACGGCGCTCAAATGCTAGAGGGGACAAGTTGCTGGAACCACACAAAACCTTATCCGGAGACAGCGTTGAGAGCCCCGTTTGATTTTTTTTTTTCAATTCCGCGGTGGCGGACACGTGTCGCCCGCGGTTTGAGCCCAGCAAGTCGATTTGTCCGCGGGCTGCGTCGACAAGCCACGGGGTTTAGCTGCACTTATACTTTCCGACAAGGCCGTGAAATATGCAGGGGCTGCAGCGTCTACATAATTGATGGTAATGGGCCGCGCACTCCGAGAAGGCTCCCTCCGGCCTCCTCGCCCGCAACCGATTTCGCGGCGCGCGTTCCCTCGTACGGGAGCCGTGGGTCCGCACGTGTACGGAGGATTGCGCGCAAAGAAGTTTGAATACGTACATACACACGCACACGTACAGACGGACACACGCGCGTACACGTGAAGACACACACGTTCGCCTCGAGGGACGAGCGCACACGCGGAGGGGCACACACGCATGTACGCACGTACAGACGTTCAAATGCTCACGCGCACACACAGATACAAAAACACTCACGTGCATACACGCTTCCACACGCACGCACACATCTACACATACATTCATGTTGACAAAGACCCATACCCACCTACAGATGCTCACGTGCCCACGCGCACACACACACAGATTTTAACATGCTGACACACACAAACTGCTAAAAAAATAAGTATGTATGAGGGATTTGCCTTAATCTCAGAAAGGAAATAACAATAACCCATCGGCCTGTGGGCCTTCTCGTCGCTTCTCAGGAGTTGTGTTTAAAAAATGGCGAACTTCAACTGGCCTCGGCTAAACTGGGATTCATCAGTAAAATGTGGCCCGTTCAGAGTGTAATTCGGTAAACGTGTCAACATTCGCTTGACAAAGGTAATTTCTAACAATTAATAATGTCCAGCACTTTTGATTCACACTCGTCTAGAAGGCCAATCAGCCAACGGCCTAAATTAATAGTACACCGAACACTTAAGCAGGGCCCCACTCTACGACCTTATTGTGCATTACCATTTAGAATCGTCCGGCACACCCTGAAGGTACACTAAATGTACACGAGCGGCTGGTTATGGCGGGTGGTAAAAAAAAAAAAATCTAGCAGCGGACGAGACGCACCATGCTCTCGCGTGTGAAGCCGCGCACCCATCCCGGCTCTCCTGTGCAGGAGCGCCGCTAAGACGGCACGTTCCGGGCGGTGCTGACGCAGCCAGCGTTCCTCATGTCAGCGACAGCCACGGCGTCGTGCGGATTTCATTCAGTCATTCTCCCTCCAAGTCGAGTCGACCACAACAGCCCGACGTTTAGTCAAACTCTCCGAAGTTATTCAATGTTGGTGCGAGAGGGGCGACATTTTGAAACATCTCCCTAAATATTGTCAATTCAACCAATCGGTTAACTCAGGATATATTTCCGTCACGAGCACGGCGACGGCGGTGGTGGGGGGGGCGGGGGGTACGCGCGCGTCAAGGTGCGCGCGCCACTCAATCAGCAGAGAGCGAAACAAACACATCAAAGCGCTTCCTCCGCTAGCCATAACATAGCCCACTTACTTACAGCCCTGCTGGGATATTCGGCGAAGACAAAAAAAAACCAACCCCAAAACACCCCGGGAACCTGACCACGACATTAAACCGGCGTCGACGCCGAAAGAATTCGAGTCGACGGACGCCGAATGCCAAAGCGTCGCGACGTCTCGTGACGGCGACCAGGCGGCCGACGGCGACGCAGAAATGGCGGCGGGGAAGAATGGCCAATGGATTCAACGCAGCTGCCCGCCCCCTCCCCCCCCCCCGCCGCCACCCCAGCTTGCCGGACGAGCAAAACATTCAGAGGAGGTGGGTGGGGGGCCATTACCCCCCTACCCACGAGCAAGCGAGCGTGCGGGAAGGAAGTCGGAGGGCAGGATATTTTACTGGCGAGGTCGCCGATTATAACCCGGTCGGAACGGCGCGACAAAGGCGCTCGTTATCACGGGCGAACACGCCGGAGTTAATCAGGGCTTCTCGCCGTGACCCGACGAGGGCTATTGAAGCGGCCCTTTCCTGCGATTGTGCATCACTCGTCGCGCTACGCCGGCTACGCTGGGCTGCGTGGGGCTACGGGCAGGAGTGCAGGGGGCCGGGCGAAGCCGAGAGGGCCGTACGGGAGCGAGGGAGGAGTGGGCAAACGTGAAGGAGGGGGTTGCGAACGTGTGAGCGTGCGTGTACGTGGGCGCGCGCGGGCGTTCAGCGATGAGCGCGATCACTCATGCGTTCACGTTCACGACCACTCGTAAGCTCACTCACCTCCGAGTCCACATTCACTCGTGAGTCAATTGTGTTCATATCTGTACCCGCATTCACTCGTGTACAAATTCACTCGTGCAGTTACATTTAATCGTGCCTTCACGTGAACCCGGTACTGACATTCCCTGAAGTGCCGCACATCCACACGTGTAAACCCTGCATTCACCCGTGAGTACACATTCACTAGTATTTACAACTGTGTGATCACGTTCACCAGTGCGTTCCACAATTACGCGTTCACTCAATTGTTCGTGTTCGTCGATGAACAGCCATCTTCACTGGCGCGATCACGTTCGTCGGCGCGTTCACGGTCAGCCATGTGTTCAGTCACTCGCAGTTCGCTTGTGCGTGCACAAGTCACCAAGGTGCGCCTTAGGTTCACGCGGGGGACTTGCGCGTTCACATTTCGATCGCAACGACCCACACGATCGCAACGACCCACGCGATCGCGTTCACCCTGGAAAAACCCGTGCGGCGCGCTCACACGTTCAGGCTCGCTCGCTCGCATGCTCTCCTTCCTTCAACAACACGCTCATCAACAGCGCTGCCTGGAAAGTAAAATGACACGGCGCACAAGAGGCGGCGCGTCGGGCATCGGCCCCTGCTGCATCGCAGCCATCTCTTGCAACGGGCCTCAAAGATGGCCGCATCTGCCGCGTGACATTCCGATGTAACTCGGTTACCGACCGGTCTCTTGACACTCGCAAGAATGCGTAGATTTCGTTCGTTAATTGCCGTTCATAACCCATCTTTCAGTGAAACTAAAAGTTTGTGAATAAGAAAAATTGTAAAAACAACACATTTTTTCGGAATTTCAGTAGGTCAGATTTTTACGTATATGCGTGCCCTACATTTTCAGATTATCTCCGTGTGTTATAGCCTCTCACTTGGTTCTCAATAAAAGCTGCCTTCCTTGGGTGGCTAACACCATCTCCCGGCCACCTTTGTCTCCCCTGTGCTGATAATTTTACAGAAAGCAGCCACGTACTCATTTAAGGCTGAGTCGACCAGGACCAGTTCAAATATTCACCACTGTTCTTGGTTGTGAGCAGGGATTGAACTGGGGTCTGGGGGTTATTAGCGCAGTGTGCTAACCACTACACTACCGCTCCCCCACACAGACAAAGAAAAAGATCCCCCTTATAGCCTGAACAGACTGTTGGGGCAAGTGCTGTTAACGAGCACCTATGAAGGCCGGCACGGCACACGAGGAGGTGGGTGGTCAACACCACGGCTGGGATGCCTTTGTCTCCCCAGTGGCGATGTTTTACACACCGCACCAGGTACTCATGTGAGGCTGCGCGCGTGCACACGCGCACACACGCACGCACTTACGCGCGTGCACACCGTAGCAAGACCCTCTCAAAACAACGCAAAACAACGCGGGGCAAAGAGAGAGAGGGGAAAAAAACAACTGCGAGTTAAAGCAATGACTCAGGCGGCAAACCAGCTGCCCCGAGTGGGCCACGATGCCCACTCTAAGCCACTCCTGGCGCTATTCCGACTCCCCTTCACAGGATCGTTGATCCAACCTGAAGCCACTTCAGCAGCGTGCGTGCGTGCACGCGCGCGCACACGTGTGTACCAACCCACGCCGCACCGAACCGCACCACCCCGTGCTACGGATATTCGAGTGGACGGGGGAGGCGGGAGAGTGGGGAACACTGGGTGGCCGAAGAGCCTGAGAGCGGACTATGTGGGGGTTGGATGACTGGCCAGGCGGGTGGGCGGGCAGGCGGCTCTGTGCTTGGGACGGTGTTTTTTTTTGCCACGCTCTTCGCTTTTCTCGGCCAGAGTCAAAATATGCCCAAGACAAATCTTCCAGCTTAAGTGGCTGGCTTCTCGGAGGAGGTGACAGTGCAGCTCTCTTGCACCAAGCCAGCGTCAATTTTGTTTTCGCGATTTTAAAGTTGCTCAGCGTCACTCGAGAAAGAGATCAAAATGTGAAAACTGTCCGTCGTGATGAAGGCTGATCTTCTGACAATGATAAGGGGTTTAAAGCAGAGGTTCTCAAACCAGCGGCCTGCCCCAATCAAAACCGACTGGTCTCCGCGCACACGCCCAGGCTACCGAGGACACAATACCCAGCGATCATACGTCAACACCTCGAGTCAACGTCGTGTAAGGCATCTGCTCCACGTTGTGTACAAGTATTGTTTTGTGTCAGCAAGGCAACGTTTTGACGTTGTGCGTTAGTGTGTTTTGTATTAGCAAGGCAATGTTTTCACGTTGCGTGTTAGTGTGCGTTTTTTGTTCGTAAGGCAATGTTTTGATGTTGTGTATTAGTGTTTGTCTTGTGTTAGCAAGGCAATATTTTCACGTTGTGTGTTGGCGTGTTTTGCGTTAGCAAGGCAATGTTTTGATGTTGCGTGTTCGTGCGTTTTCTCGCCGCACTGACGTTCCCCGCGCAAATGTAAACATTTCTCCTGCACAGTATTCATGCCGCAGCCTGCCCCCCCCACCCCCACTCTGAAAGGCTTCGAGGGTGGGGTGCACGACCCCTGGGTTGAGAACTGTTGGCTTAACCGGTGCGTTGATCGAAAGTAAAAAAAAATCTGGCTCAGATGTGCCAGCGGTAAAGGGGGAGCCAAAACGTACAACGCGCCATGATTGTTTCGCCGTTCGCTATGCTCACCCGTTTGCCGGGCTTCGAAGGGCTCCCTGCGAGCTGCTGATGAGCGCTGTTGGCGCTTTTCGCCCGGCGGGACTGCGCCGACAGATGCTTCAGTTTTCCTACAAGGAGAAAAAAATATGAATTTAGATCGCTGTGCTAAATCGAGAAGTGTAACATCCGTGATTCAAGTTATTTTGTTTAACCAGCTGAGAACTCATCTGCAAGAGACCCAGTCACCAAAATGAGATGAGCAAAAAAACACATTAAAACAAGTACAACAATACCATTGGTACCTCATTTGCCAGTAAAAAAATAATTGGTTTTTTACCCTTTATCTGGCAACAAAACAGACAGCTTTTTTTACGAGGAGTCATGTTTGCATAGACCACAATACCTGGTATCATCTGGTCCAACCCATGTGAGACTAGGCTCTAAGGAAAGCTGTCTCGGGTGTGGACCAATCAACTTCAAGGACAGTGCATACATTATCAGAGTTTGCATTATGACTGCAGATATTGTGGTCTATGCAAACATGACTCCTCGTAAAAAAAGGTGTCAGTTTTGTTGCCAGATAAAGGGTAAAAAACTAATTATCAAGTACAACAATAATCAAAATGTACCGTCATTTGTCAATCTACTGCTGAATAATAACTTTAAAAAATCCCCACAGTGTTGGACATGGAAGTTGCGTGACCATACTTCACCACGCTCAGCAGCGCTATTCAGGACTGTTTCAAATATCACTCACCGCTGATTTTAGCCGTGTGCGGGAATCAAACTTGCGTCACCAGGTTCACAGTGCAGTGTGCTAACCACTGCACCATCAGTGCCACCACTCTCACATCCTCCCCCCCTCCCCAACAGATAAATAAAAGTGAAATTCCCTCTATTTAAGCAGCAAAGCTTCGTTGAGTCTCAAGACTTTTCAGGTGGGTCCTGATTTTGGCATGTTTGGTCAATTCCATGAGTGTTTGGCTTCATGTGGGACAAAACTGGAGCACTCCAAGAAGACCCACACAACGAGTGTTTAGCTGCCCTTACTTGCACAGAATTTGGGGGAGGAGGGGAGCAGTGGGGCAGCGGTTAGTGTCCTGCGTCCTGAGCGATGAACCCTGCGACTTGAGTTTGATTCCCAGTCAAGGCTGACATCAGTGGGGGTGGGGTGGGAGGAGTGAAATCTGAACTGCTGTTGGGTGCCTCGCTTGATGAAGCGGCACTGCCCAGCGTGGTGAAGTTCTGTTGTAACTCGGTACCAACAGTTGCTCTCCGTCAACAACGCGTTCATCAACCGCACTGCCTTGAAAGTGAGACGGCGCACAAGAGGCGACGTGTCGGGCATCGGCCTCTGCTGCATTGCGGCCATCTCTTGCGACGGGGCCTCAGAGATGGCCGCATTTGCCACGCGACTATCCGTTGCAACTCGGTACCGACCGTTCTCTTGACACTCGCAGGCGTGCTTAGACCTCGTCCGTTAATTGCTGTTCGTAACCCACCTTTTGGTGAAACTGAACGTTGAGAATAATTTTTTATTTATTAATTATATGAATTTCAGTAGAATTTTACTCCGTGTTCTGTATATACGTACATTTGTGTGAAAGACAAATCTGTACCATGTCCGCTTTATTGTGAGATCCTCTCCGTGTGTTGTTGCCTTTCACTTGCTTCTCAATAAAAGCTGCCTCCCTTGGGTGGCCAACACCACCTCCCGGCCACCTTTGTCTCCTTATTGCTGATATTTTTACACAACGCAACCACATATAATTCACCCGACATGACCGGTACGGTGTGGGAAGGCCTTCATCACACTAGTGGAAGAACGGCTGTAAATTATTATCACTATTATATGCATCGTCACACCGGTTAATATCAGGTTTTTTCTCAGAATAACAGCAACATTATTGACCAGATTTATTGCGCGAACAAAAACAGGACCACGGACACTTTGTCAAGTGCAACAGCACATTTGTAGGGCAATATCGCCCTCTGCTGGCCACGTAAGCACACTGCAGTGATGCCATCAACTGTGCCAATAAACTTGATACATTCCTCAATAGCAGCGTGGCTCTAAAAATGAAAAATATATATAATCAGCGACGTTTTTGGTAATGTCCCTTCTTCATAATACACATGTCAACTCGGCGACAGTGTTCTGAAATTGAGGCACGAGACAAAAAACCACCGGCAATGAGACGAATCGTCACATTTTGGGGGTGACGATTTGATGTAAAAATCAGACATTTTTCGTCAAATTTTTTACCGTCTCAAATGTATAGTTTCTTGGATTTGTTTTTAACCACCTCATTTGTCGAGTTCCACCTGCTCCATTCACGTAAATGCCACGCGAACGTTACGTTACGAGCCTATATTGGTTAACTCTCAAAGCAGCGGTGGGGAGGTTTTATGGGTTGCGGATCAAAGATGATTGCGTCGAGGAGGGCCCAGCGACGCGGTGCCCCCACGCCCCCACGAGCCGCAAACGCTTCGCCAAGTGAGCCGTGGGCTCCGAGAAGCGGCGAGCGCAAACGTTGCACGTCTTCACCATTCCCACTGCGCGTAGGTTAACCATCGTCGCACTTTAATAGACTGATTTACATGTGTCTCGCATTATCAGTGTTTTCGTTTTACCCGGGACTTCCACAATAAGATTTTTTTTTGGGTTAGATCGCATGAATATAAATGTGTCGTTAAGCCCGCCACCACCCGACACGGCCGACTACTAAGGTTTGTCACATAAACAGAACGTGCCAATGCGTTAATAGTTCAGCACACCGGTGTGTTGGAGAGTAAACTCACAAAATGTACAATTCCGAGTACGTTTTGACCGGTAATATTATTTAAATTAATAAGCCTACATGTTAAACCAGGACTTCCCTTACACAATCACCCCTGAAAATCGAGAGTTGCTTGCACTTTCAAAAGAATGCCTGTGCCGTATATGCAACATGCAGTGGCGATGCTTAAACACCATCAGCGCTGACATCAAATCGATGTGACGCGTAAAATTATCGCGGTTGTTCTGTTGTCAAGTTCTCCAACGCATTTTGGGTTGTGTCGCTGTACGGCAGAAGTCGCAACCGGGTACCCAATACCCGTACCCTACCCGATACCCGGCTACCCGTACCTGGCCGGGTACGGGTACGGGTACCCGTTTGCGACCCTGGTGCGGCCGGGTACGGGTACGGGTAGGCCGTGAGTCACTGGTGAGTAACCGTTTGTCACTCATTTCCCAACGTCTTGTTTCTTCTCATAATTCAAGTTTCTAGAATCAACTCACCCGTGCCTGCAACATGGCTTCATCCCAGAGGTCGCAATCGGGTACCCGTACCCTACCCGATACCCGGCCGGGTACGGGTAGCCGGGTATCGGGTAGGGTACGGGTACCCATTTGCGACCCTGGTGCGGCCGGGTACGGGTACGGGTAAAGAATCAAAACCCGTTTGCGACCTCTGCTGTACGGCCTCGGCGCAACGTTCCACGTCCTCCGCAGCTCCACGTGCCGCGCAACTTCTTCGGGAACTAAATCAGTCGTGAGCTGAATTCAGATTCAGTTGCTGAAGAAGTTCCCGGCACGTGGAGCTGAATGTCGGACGTCATGCTGAACAACAACACGCGGCACGACCCATCCCGTTTCCCCCCCCCCCACCTCGAGTCGTCTAGCGATACTGAACATTTGTCGGACAATATCGTCCTCTGCTGGCCAAGAAAGAAGCGCTCTGCTGGAGTAATTGTATGAATTATGCCAAGACAGGGCGTCCAGAAACCAAGACATGAAGCAAAATCACCGCCTCCAGCAAAATATTATTAATTGTAATTTTTTTTGGTGGGGGGGGGGGGGGTCGTAATTTGAATCAAGAATCGATAATCTTTCATTCTGCCAGCAAAAACTGAATTCAGTATGGATCCTTGCAGTCACGAAAACTTCCAAGTCTAGAATAAATTCAGTTGCCAATGAAGCTCCCTGGACGTGGAACGAAAACGTCGAGATATCGTGCCCGCACGACAACAGCAACAACAACAAACAACACACGCTGCGACCCGAATGCGCATCATTGGCAAGGAGGACGAAGAATAAGTGGGGGGGGGGTGTGGGGGTTGGTGTCTACTACAGCACCCCCTGGTGGATGCACTAAACAAGGGGGCAACTTCACACGTGGGTGGTAAGAGTCGCGCAGCAGGTTAATGTGGTCACGCGTGACGATCCGTGAAAATTGGACGTGCGAACACCCATCACTCTGTGGGCGATAATGGTAACAGGTGCGGCACTCACACGGACGCAGGGGTGGTGGGAGTGGTGGTGGGGGTGGTGGGGGTGGTGGGGGTGGTGGGGGTGGTGGGGGTTGTGGGGGTGGTGGGAGTGGTGGGGGTGGTTGTTGTGGGGGTCGTGGGGGTGGTGGTGGTGGTGGGCCAAGCCACCACTATAGCCCCCACCACAAGTAACCAGCCCGGTCGAAAGTGGTGAACCCATTAACACCACAGGGTGTTATGTTAGCACGTGAAGCGCCCTGTGACAATTGTATTGTGAAGGGCGCTACATTAAACAAAGTTCGATTGATTACGTTGGACAGAGAGAACTTGTTATTTCAACATCTGGATTGCATGTCTGACCATGGCAGCATTCATTTTAGAAATCCTTTGTAATTTCTAAATGTATTTTTTTTATTTTAGGGATGTAACTTTTTATATTATCTTTGTTGCTTATAAGGCACTCCGGAAAAGAAAGATGCACCCCGATGTTTTGGGGTCTTTTTGAAAGTAAAAATAAATGCTGATAACATGTAGAGTGATTATCACGTGAAGAATACGGTAATGGTGGAAGTGGCTGTGCAGTGACGCTAGAACTGTTCACTTTTTTTGCTTGAAGATAATAGGGGCGAAAAGTGCATCTTGTGATCTGGAGAACAGGGGCACAGATGACGATGTGGGGAAACGAACCCTCCTCGTCGCGGCTCTCCAGCGGGACGCTCCATGCGATGAGGTTCCGTGCCGTTCTCCCCTCCTCGGCGACGATGCGGCGCACCTTGTCGTGGCTGTTGGAGCGCTGGAAAGACGCCTGCTGCCATCGCGGCAAAACACAACGGCATGCACACGCGGGTCAGTGCTGCGTACACTGCCAGCGACGCTGCCCGCATCGCACTCGTCGCCGCCGCCGCCATTCTAGATCGCACCCATGGCAATCATCGTTCTACATCACAACCATCATCATCATCATTGCTCTACATCACAGCCATCATTGTTCTACATCACAACCATCATCATCATCATCATTCTACATCACAACGATCATCATCGTTCTACATCACAACGATCATCATCATCATCATTCTACATCAAAACCATCATCATCGTTCTACATCACAACAACCATCATCGTTCTACATCACCATCATCATCATCATTGTTCTAAATCACAACCATCATCATCACAACCATCATCATCATTGTTCTACATCACAACCACCATCATCATCGTTCTACATCACAACCATCATCATCATCATCGTTCTACATCACAACCATCATCATTGTTCTACATCACAACCATCATCATTCTATATCACAACCATCATCATCATCGTTCTACATCACGACAATCATCATCATGATCCAGCCGTACGACATTTGCCGTTTGTTGCAAATGCCCAGATGTTCAAACACATTTATGCAATGTAAATTAGGGTACTAGTTAATTAATTGTTCAATTCTGGCAGGCAGCCCTGGTTAATGCTGAGTGTGAATTAACCACAGTATACACACCGTCCGCTTCACAGGGAATGGTAAATATCCTGCAGCTTTCGTTTTTTCGAAGAGTAGGGCATTGAGTACAACTTTACCAAATTTGAAAAATCACTAGTCATTAATGACCCCACAAGACATTCATATGCTCATTCTTTAAGCCATGCGTCTTAGTGTGATTCCAAGAATTCACCCCTTCATTGTTCATTACAAACATTTTAACCACAAAGTATGTATTATTATTATTGCTAACATACCTAAGGATGTGTGTGGTTAATGCAGACTTGATGTCTTGCAATAGGTGTCTATTTGGTGTTTTTACATCTAAACACATGCTTATGCCAGAAAGGATAAAGCCTTTTTTCCGAATCTTGATGTCGTACTGCCAAAAGGGGTCCCATAGGGATAAGAGTGGAAGACAATTGAGCAGGGCTATAAGAATGTAGGAATAAGAGACCACGGAAGGATATGCCGTATGAGGAAAGCAGCAAACAGAAAAAAGTGTTTTGACCTGCAGTCTGGTGGTTCAACAGTCAGGAAGAGACAAAAACACAGTCAGTGTCCGGTAGACCAAATCCTCAACATGAGTGTACGAATCAATGAGTGAAGTTTACGGTAACAATAACCATGGTAATAGAATTAGAAGAGTGATATAAGGGGGTGACTTGACCAATGATGAAGTCACGGGAGACAAACATCCGAATAAAGTTCCCTCCAGATAACACTGACTGGTCAACACACTTTTCTGGCATAAGGTATTCCAACGGTTTTAAGGTAATTTTCGGGTGCTGATTCCAAATCTGGCATTAGTTTTTTTTCTATCGCATCAGGTTTTTGAGATATCAAATATTGCATTTTCAATAAAAACTGCAGAATAAAAATATAAAATAAATGTGGATATCTACATAAATTATATTATAAACACACTATCCTAAAAATAAAGTACCATATTTTAACACTAAAGCAGTCACTGACTCGCAACAACTTGCAATCATAAGTGACAGAGTTAATTTCGGGTTAAATCAATGAAAATGGAGTATGCTGATAGCATAAAATGAGATGTGATAGAGCAAATCTGAGATCAGATTTGGAATCAGCACCCTGAAGTTAGTCTAAAATAGCTGCAAAAGTCCAGGCCAGAAAAAAATGTTTTTTTTTTGTTGACCAGTGTAATCAGTCTTGAGACTCAGTAATGTTCTCCTGAATTCATAAATAAATCACTTATTGTAATTTTGCTTATCCCTCTGTGTTGGGGTTCAGGGGCTTCATAAATAAATGGTTTGTGCTGAATTAAACATCTTTCACATTACCAAGCAAAGAAAACATTTGGCAAAAATCATTTAGTAACATTTTGCCTGTGTGCTGATACACGCCGGCGGGCAGCCTGCCAAAGGCCCTTTGTGAATTCTTCCGCAGTCAGTTTTGCCGCACATTGTACCAATGACAAGGCAAAAGACGGAAAGCCATGGCAACCTGAGGATATTCCCGACACAAATCTCACTTAATGTAACCAAAACAATCACAGTATTCTCTGGATTACAGGATGCTATGGAAAGTAAAACGCGCCGAAGATGTGCCGGGTGTCTCTAGTTACGTAAATCTGGTGACGCACATCGACCAAATTATACAGGAACACACACACACACTCCAAATTTTGCTTCAAAACACTTTTTGCCGTGAAATTTAAATTACCGTACTATTTAAAAGCCCCATATACTATGTTTCTTCATTCCCCTCCACTTCTGTCCACCCTAAAGTAGAAATGTGCACACCACAGCTAGTCTATCGGCAGGTTGCGTGTGGGGTGTTAAGAGTGTGGGTACATCCACATCTTCCAAGCCTTCTGGCCAGCAGGGCAGAGCAGGCCAAATTCCCTCTAGAGGGGCTCTCCAGATCTCTCTCTAGTGGAGGGCCTTCCGTCAGCAGCGACGTAGGCAATTGCAGGGCTGCAGTTTTTTGCAGGGCTGCAAGATACCACGCATCGATCGGTTAAAAAACACAACCATGACATCACTGTTAGCGACGACGCAGGCATAGCATATTAACTCTGATCGAACTCTTCGAGCTATTCAAGCAAAGAAAAAACTTTGCCCCTGGAAATACCTACAGAGAAAAAGTAAAGCCTCTGGGGAAGGTCCTCTTCTGCATCTTCTGACATGACCGAAGCCCGCAATACCGCTGAGCCCTGGCAAGTCCAGCCGGGCAACATTCGGCGAACATCGCCCCTCGCTTTAAGCGTCAATTACGAAGTCGCTTGTGAAAACAAGTCCCACTGAGCGACACTTAGAGTGAATGACAAGCAGGCAATTTAACGCTGGGCCCAACGTGGATTTCCAAAGACTCACGTCAGCTGCGATTAAAGACTTCTTAATAATGACGCGCAACCTTGGGAGAAGGCGGAGGATGAGGAGTACGCACTGGCACAGCGGAACACCGATGGACAGCGAGCGAGCGCGACTATGAACGGCGAAAGCGTCTCCATTACAAGATGCGGATTAAGGCAGAATGCCGGTCAGGACGGCGCTGCATCGCTGCCCGACTCTGCGTGGTCCCTCTGATATTATTTAAGTGCGTCTAAGCACACGTGCTTAAGGATTCAAGGCACGCGGCGTTGTCTGGCAAGCTCACAAACCCCGTGGCCAAAACACCACACATCAGCAGATCTGTCGTTGGGAGGCGACAGAGATTAACCTAAGATGAAAGTGTATGCGTGCTCAGTTGTATGTTAAGTGGAACAGTCAACTGTCGGTCATCTCATCTGTGCTCGTGGATTAACTGCCGTCATGCAAACACATTCAGTATATTTATGCACGTGTACTGATTCTTGTACAAGCTGCTCCTCACTCATAAAGGGGCCAGTAACTCAGTGCCCATGCATGGGACCACCAATGTTAGCGAGTCAACCGATTAACTTTATGATACAAAACTCCGCAACTCGAGAGCAAAACAATAAATGTTTTAACAGCCCGAGCTACGTATTTTTTGCATCATCCACGTTTTTTATTTTACCGGGCTGCTCCAGATGACTGTTTACAGTTACTAACAATGTGATTTATCAGCTGTGGACACGCATGATATCCGCCAATTTAGCATGTAGGTAAAAGTGTTACTGAAGACACCGGATGTACAATTTAGGTGAACGTGAATGACGCCCTGAACACGAATTAAATAATTGCTGATAGGTTTCTGTGTGTTTAAAAATGAATGAATCAACAGGTCATTCATTCACAAAAATTGGCAAATCTTGCAGTGGTCTACTATTCTTTAAAACTAAAGCCGTGGGGTCTTTAACGTTCTGTGTGAAGCGGACGGTGTGTATACTGTGGTTAATTCACACTCAGCATTAACCAGGGCTGCCTGCGGGATTTGAACAATGAAAGAATTAACTAGAACTATATTTTACATTGCATAAATGTGTCCAATCCAACCGTTTTAGGTCATACATTTACAAAGAAAGCCAACCTCTTCAAGTGCTATGCAAATTTGAATCCATAAATAACAATAACAAGATACTAGGAAAACCTCGCCTAAAGCAGTGGAACAAAATTGAGTTGCGTCAGACATAATCACCCCTTCCCTCTTTGTTTAACTAATTCTACCTGATTACAGCCCTTGCTATTGTAATAAAGAATGCAGAGTCGCTCTGCATTTCTTTTGTATGTGTGGAGACTTAAATGTCACCTCTAACCCGCACCCTGACACTTTAACACTGTCACTAGAACCCTAATGATCCACCACCATCTAGGCGTCTGCATGACGGACGTCCCGAACGAATATAAGATACAAGTTGCAATTGCATGTATGTTGAACTTCTACGTAGGCAAACCGTGCTTATAGAAGGCGTAAAGAATTTGCGTTGCTGCTGTTGTTCTCGTGAGCATGTTGCTCATTCATGAGACCTAAGAACAGGTTTTACCCTTACTGTTAGGTTTTTATCGGTAAAGTCACGTAGGTAAAAAAATAATAAATGAAAATAAATCAATTGAAACCTAAGAGTATGAATCCTTGCAGTCACGAAAGCTTCAAATCTAGAATTTACCCCTACTGGCAATAAAACAGACGTTAATATGTTCAAACAGCAAATAAGATGCCTTTTGCAAAGAATCAAGTCTGCATAAACCACACGTACTTGTGGTGAACATGCAAAACAACATGTTCTGATAATATATGCATGATATATAATGAAAAAAATGCATTATATATTATGCATAGTCTGTGACCTAAAACGGTGGAATTAGACACATTTATGATGTAGGCCAATCCATTTCAAAGACAATGCATCAATGATCGGAGCATGTTTGTTAGCATGTTAACCACAAG